GATGGGGCTGCTGCATAAACTGTGCCAAGTATTTTACGTATAAAAACATTATGAACTTGATGATTTATTGGGAAGGATCAAAGCAAACTAATTCAATTCAGAGCAGCGTGGAAGACATGTAAAACGAGTTATTTTGATAGCAATATATCTGAAAGAGCATATCAATGTGATCTGTGTCTATAGGTCAAAAAGTGAACCGAAATCTCTCGAATACATACAGTCATAAATCGAAAAATTGCCTTACCGTTGGAGGGCGTCACATTTTCTCTCATAATTTGCAACATATGCAACGCCTGTTACTGATGCCATTAAAAGATCTAGAATGACTTCAACATGCCATGAACATTGGCAACTAAAGTGGAGATAGTACAATTTAGTAGAAAATTACTTAAACTCAGCTGAACTTCTATCCTTAATAATCGTGAATTTAGCAGCTGTTTTCCATGTTGTATTGATTTAAAAGTTTTATGATCATGTTCAAAAGTTAGGATTACGTCATATATTTGATCATTTGATTACTCAGAAAATAAAATCTCAATTTTCAATTAAAATATTGTCGTGGGTTAGTTGAATTCGTTCAGTTTATTTCAGCTTCTAAAAACTTATATAGAAAGGTTCCTAGAATTACGTGGGTTTTGGCTTATGTTTTGTTGGTTCGACGATGATACGGACTTTCACAAAAAATTGAATACATTCTATTTTGAATTGGGGACCAAAAGTCTGCAGGCTGAGGTTGAGCCCCCAAGCAACATAAATTCATAATAATTCCAATATCTGACTTGCTTTCTTCCAGTTAGGAGGATTGTTCAGCGTCAACTATGCATTAAGATGTCAGAGCGAAAAATAAATCGTATTGATTTTATAAGTATTTTTATAACTGATGTCATTCTGATCTATTCAATAAATAATGTTGCTCACACGAGTTTATTATTACCGAACAATTAATATCCAATCAACAAATCTCTTCCCAAGTCACTGAGAACAAAACACGGAAACAATTTTCTTTGTTACGGCCGAGTCAAAGCGAGATCGAGGTGGTCAAATGACAAAAAGTAACTCAACAAACTGTATTCATACAAGCTTCCGTGTCCAGTCTATTATAAATTTTAATTACCAACAACAACACTGTATTTACAAAGACAAAAAGAGTACATCACTTGTTAGAGTTTGACACTATTTCCCAGGATAATCAATTGTTATTCGATAAAGACTAATAGAAAGATAAGATACTCGGTGTTAATACGGTACTATGAAAGGTATATAAAATCAAGCTGAGAATGCCTATGTTGTTATTATACTGCGCATTATTACTGAATCAGTTTGAGGGTTATTAGGCTCAAGCTGTATTTAAATGAAAATCACAAAGATGCGTTGAGAATAATGAATACCGGTATTTCTACACGAAATATATTTACGGGATATAGTATGGGAGTTATCGTGCATAAAGTTGAAAAACCATTTGTCCAAAGCGAATGATCATTTTTGCACATGTTCTGAGAAATGCACTTCGACTGCTTTATATAAAAAATATCTTTCCTATTTCCAGGTTTGTTGCTTCTCCAAGATCTATCTATTTGGTAGTCGGAAATCTCTACTTTATGTTTCACAGTTTTCTGCAGTTTGATATATTGGTTTAATTAACGATGATAAATACAAAAGGCTGTCGTTTAATAATTGCTTTGATGATCATGACAATACTGTTCTTTCTGCAAGTCAGTGCAATTTCCATACCCCCACTTGGATGTAAGTGCATTCTTGTTTAGCAGAATGATGTAAACACATCATCATCGTTAAAAATTGAAAAAATTTGAGTGCGGTATAGTGGAAGCCAAGAATTCCTGGCGACGGCTTTCTATAAGATTTCAAATTTTCCGATGCAGAGTGTTTGATTAATTATTTTACTGCTTAACACATGTGCAGAACATAAGTGTAAACAAACTGTTGAAATATGTTATCTATATAGCGACAAGTTCTCTCATAGTCGGGTACTATATAACCGTTCATGTCCTACCTGTTTGTCTGAAAATAAAAAATATAAATATAGTTCCTAGTAGACCTGGGTGTGTATGAAGCAAAACTTAAATTAAAATTGAATAAAAACGAGTAGTATTGCTATCGGTTAGCAGGTCATACATCAGCAGCCGTATTCGTAATCTTCGAAAATATTAAATTCGTTCCCTATTTCTTACTTAGTTATCAATTGTATTCAATACTCAACACTTGATCACTTTTTATTGTTACAGTAGGTGATGTGGATAAGTTGAACAAAGTTCCTTAAAATCAGAAATGTGGGTATTCCTATTTTAATAATGTAGTTTTGAAATTGGCTTTACAAATATTTTATAATAGTTATAGTTTAACATCTTTTGATGAGATGCCTCCACACCGTCATTCCAAACAAGACTCCAGACAAGCACACACTGATACGTAAGAATCTACTAGATTTGGGATGACTAGAATTTTTTTGCCTCAATATTGCCAACTCATAAAATTTCAGGCTAAAATATGGAGTTAACGGAAATACTATTTTTTGTTACAAATTACTTTTTGCAGATCCTATTCTCATGTTTTGTATTTTTATGTGTTTTTTTCGCAAACTATACGCCGCACTTATTATAGTACATAAATAGTTTGATTAAAGCACATACACGCACCGTAGAATACAAAGATTCTACTACTTATTATAATATTGACCTGGATATTTAGATAATACCTTCTGAACAAACTAATTTTTAAAGAGGTTCATAATTATGAATATTTTTGGACACGTTCAGTGGTCATAACAATCTTGTTAATTTTCGTCTTCATCATTATAAAATCGCTTTTCTCTTCGAATACTGGACCAATTGCTTTGAAATTTTCAGTGTTTAAAAAATTGATTTTTTGCCAGGAGGCTTTTACTTTTTATTTATTCCTAAATTCTCCATGTATCTTATGAGACCTAATATTTCATCCAGAATTGCGCTGTATTACTTTTAATTATGGGGAACACGGTTTTTTAATCCGTCAAGCGTGACGGCTGACTGGTGAAAATTCTTGCGAACTGAAAAATCGGAGGTTTTTTGAGAGTACGGTACCGGTAACGTCAAAGGTAAGGAACTGCTTCGCTCTGTTCATATATTTGAGCGTTGCTCTCTTGTTTTCTCAAATATTGATATATCCTTTCCGTTTTCAGATGCTACTGTAGCTTCGATCACGAGAAAATCCAGACTTTTATATTTGTTTGATCGATATCGTTCTTGTATTATCTTTACAATTTTTTATGTATTTCTTTTCAATAATTTTCACGATATTATAAAAAAAGAAAAATATTTGCTCAGTACTATTTCAAAATAAATTTAACAGCAAAAAAATATTAAAAAGTATTTTATTGTGAAATTATACGATTTTCATTTTGTAGAATTATATTTCTCAAATTGAGCCGCTCACTAATAAGTTTTTTCAAAAGAAAACGAATTGGATCAATCTCATGCACTATAGAGTCAGTTTCTTTCTAGTCGCAATGGGGGTGCTACATAAATTGTGCCAAGTATTTTACGTATAATAACATCATGAACTTGATGATTTATTGGAAAGGAACAAGGCAAACTAATTCAATTCAGAGCAGCGTCGGAGTCATGTAAATTGAGTAATTTTGATAGTAATATATTTGTAAGCGCACATCAATGTGATCTGTGTCTATAGTCCAAAAAGTGAAACCGAAATCTACCAACCGCTCACTAGAGGGCGTTACGTTTCTCTCTCATAATCATAATTTGCAACAAATGCGACGCATTTTACTGATGTCATTAAAAGATATGGAATGACTTCAAACATAGACATAGTACAATTAGTGAAAATTACTTAAACTCGTTAACCTTCCTTCAATTTTAATAATCGTGAATTTAGCAGCTGTTTTCGGCTAACTATTTTCCATGTTGAAATTAATTTAAAACGTTTTATGATTGTGTTCAACCATTAGCATTACGTTAATATTATTTGATTCATTGGATTTACTCAGAAATCAAAATCTCAATTTTCGACTAAAAATTGTCGTGAAGAAATAATGCGCGTTGTCACTTTTTATATCAGTTGGTTTTATTATTTTTTTCGGAAAGAAAGTTCATTCAAGTAGAAATATGTTATGACAGGAAAAAATGATGCATTTTCCCATTTCCCTCTAATTCAAGAATGAACCATAACACTGTAAATTAATGAATTAAGCTACAGCAATACCATAGGACTTCATCTTATAAAGACGTACCAAATGGTACCACCAATTCCATTATATTCATATATTGGTATAAGAATTTCATTATATCAATTTCTAAAACCTGGTCATACAAAATATTCAGAGCATTATACTTAGTTGCAAATTTAACGACAAGAATCGATAGTCAGGTCATTCATCATTTTTTTTTCTTAATTTGCATATAAATAAGACAGTCGGATGTGACATCATATAATGTGATTTACAATGAGAAGTAATCAATGTAGTTTCTATAAAAGCCATGTAAGGTTTGACAGTTCATAGATAAGACGTTCTCATCAATAATTTGTAATTATGTTTTTCATAAACCGGTAATTATGAACATACTACGACATTTTTTATTCTATTTCTTTTTCGTCATTTGTGTATACGAAGGATAGAATTTTTCATATTTTCGTACATCTACATTCTTCATCATTTTGAATGCAGGATCAGCCCTTCGTTACTCATCATATTGCTTTGTGAAAGTACAAAGTGATATATTTATATTACCAAACTATATTTATTCATAGTTTATTTCAATATTCCATGATTCCCGTTCACCGTGACCATAAAATTATGAAAACTTTATGTACGTGATCGTGTGCTATGCAAATCCAACTTTCGATACCAGATTTTTAACGAAATTTGACTATGAAATGACAGCAGTTAAATCTCGACGTGTATCAAAAATTAAACTCTGCTGAAGCAAACTTCCTTCCTTCAATGTTACTGAAATGATACACCGTACAACACTGACTATCATTTTCAAATACTTTATCGTATAATAATTTATTCAACGTGCAGAATATTGAGTGCTCATATAAATAATAATAAGAAATATCAATCAACATATACAGTCATTACTCAGATTAGTAAATGTGAGACAAAAACATCGTGTGATAAAAATAAAAAAATATTATAAAAATATAATAACAATTGTTGAAGGAGTGGTGAATAAATTCCATTGTGTTTGAGAAAGAAATCATACAATATTGAAAAGAAAATGAATTTAATTTCATGATAATAATTGGAGATTTGAATACGATTCAAATGTATAAATAAACAAATAAACGACGCTATGGGTAAATCAAGCAGAACAAGTAAGTGTGCATTTGCTGAAATGATTGAACATTTCTCGAAGTTAGTTAATCTTGCGTTTATTTGATTCTATCGGGGAAGTTTTGTCTTTTTTGATGTCGTTTTAAAATTGAATTTTTTTCGCGTTTCCACAATTTTTTCATTGCATATGAAAGAAGATAATTTCATACAAATATCTGAATTTACAAATCGTCGAAAAGTGTCACATTTCATTAAATTATAAATACAATTTTGTGGTTCAATGAAAGTTCCATTGTCTGGATTTTTCAGTTTTTCTTCGGTTCTTGCTCGCGTTTCAAAATCAATGTTTACCTGAAAATTAATTAGTTAATAAGTTAGTCTTGGGGATAATAATTGATTGATCATATTCAAAAACTATATTAGTGTATATATACACTGTATAGAAAGATTTCGCCCGTGGGGCAAATGAGTGTAATAATTTCATAACTGAGAAAGATCGACAAAATATAAAAAATTTCGTCTATGATAAATATTGAGTGAGTTCTTACCTCTCTCGGAGCAGACCGTGCAAGATATTGTGAGAAGATTTTGAAAGCCATTTTTGTCTGTTTTGCTGATTTCAAAGATTTATAAATTTCGCAGTCCAACCAGAAATCCAAGTTTTCTTCGCTGTGTTCTAGTATCAAGAATTCCCGAAAAGCTTGCAATGCAACTGAAATATAATTAAATTGTCATGAAATATAGAAACTAGCTAATTATCACAACTAGCAATCAGATACTATCAAAATTCATACGTGTAGCCAGTGTATATATCACGAAACTATATATTTGTCTAAATTAGGGGCAAAACTGAAAGGGGTGTATTTTATGCCAAACAGGACACGGATTGTGAAATCGATTTTGGTTGCGATTCCTTGTCCAGTTTTGGTTTTGTGTATAAATAAATATATACATATCACCTGTTTATAGAAATAAATTTCAACAGTCTGGGTTTCATTACCAAAATAGCTCACTGGAGAGGATATGAAGCCACACTAATTCTTGAAATTATAAATTTAGGTGATTTCGTGCGCGGCCTATATATGGTCAATTTTCAAAACAATTTCATCAGAGCCGTGCCTACAATGTGTTTGTTACCATGGCATGACTAGAAACGCAATATTTATTCTGATGAAAGAGTGAAATTATCATCGTTTATCAGCTAGTATTACGTCTGCACTTTTATTCTCTGTTAGTTGCATGTATAACTATATAATATTATAAAACCTACCTTTACTTTTCATCATTTCATCCAATGTTAATTCTGGTTTTGTATTTTCATCATCTCTGTAATAAAAATGTATTATTGATACAACATACAATCAATTGAATCGCAACGGATGGAGAAATAACCAAATGTGAATATATTTGACGATTTTGATTAAAGAGAATTGAAATTCATATTTATGACATAAATGCTTCCAACCATAATGTAGAATTAACATTAGCTAACAAAATAGTAAATTAGATGTAATGCAATCATGGTTTCACACAACCAATGTTAGAAGAACATGATATTTGTAAAATAGGTGTCGTCAAATAAACTATGTTTTAATTAGTGAGCATTGTTGAATGCCTGGAGATGACTTACATTGATCTCTTCCCTCTGCGACTCGATCGTCTCTTGAACGAACGTCTCCTTCCACTTGAGAATGAATTTCTTCTGGTCAAAACATCATTTTCATCGGAGTCTGACATTTTGTCTTTTTTGTCGTCAATTCTAAAAATCAAAATATTGGGTTTCAGCTATTATTTCAGTATTTTTGATTGTACGGATGAACTTATTTTGTAAAAATACAGTCGTTAAATCTTAGGCAAAAAAATTTCGAGTCAACATCTTTTTACATCGAAAAGGCATACTTTACTTCGTTCAAAAAACTGAAGTTTTGAAGTTCAAGCATCCTGTATAACTTTTTAATCATTCTGTTTTTATTTCAATTTCATAAACTACAAATAAAAAAGTTGAAACTTACAATTCAGAGCGAGCTTTTCTGGAGGTCCTAGTAGAAGTTGTACAATGTAGACTGGCGCTTCGTTTGAATGGCGATGGATCTGAATTACTATCTGTCGACGACTTGCGTTGGAACCAGGCCATCAGGCTTCCCCTGTAATCAATCGAGATAAAATTAGAACAGAAAAAATTACATTGTCGTTATGATCTAATATTACGTGTCACGAAGGTGCATTTTACTTTTCTATTTTCCGGAATATAATCTACTATAAATTATGAAGCATCTACGTAAAACCAGGTCAAAAAATGCAATATTGATAAATCATAAAAATTAGTTATTTAGAGAAGCCGGTTAAACCAGTTAACTATAGAAGAGATTACATTTTTGAGTCAACGAAAACCTGCTCCTATTAATTTTAAATGTTCGGCTTTTCTATTAACTAAAATTAAAAAAGGGGGTTCGAAATAGGAATTCCATTCTCTCTATTACAACTCGTCATTGCCCTTTCTTGAATATTTCACCTTGCCGCGGATTCGATGATAAGAAAATACTCAATTGATCAAATAGTATCTATGTACGCTCGCGCAGACGACTACACACGTTTCTGTCGCATAAAAGTACATTTGGTGTGATTACATTGTAAAACGTTTGCAATTTCAACGAAATGATGTCGTCAGATATTGTAAACGAGTGATTATTGCTATTCTACTTAGCAATTAATTTTTTTCAAAATACCCTTTCAGTAATGCTAATAGATCAAACTATGTCCGAGTTGCAGATCTTGTGTCACTTGCCTTTGCTACTTGCGTGGTATATTGCATTGGTTAATTTATGTTAAACCGATTATCGCAGCTTGCCTGGATACTCATTTGGGCGGGAAAAAGTTAAACGCCCCATGATATTAAAGATGGCTATCAATACAATGATGTCTTTAGCGCAATTAGGTTAGATATACGTTAAATTATACAATACGTCATTTATGTGCGAGCTCATATCTAATTGTGAGCCAAGGATAACCTCCGCTCAGCGATGCGTCCCACGGCACATTTTAATCGTGCATGTAACTGAACTACCGAGGCAATGACTTACAGTGCATTGTTTTTCTTGGATTGATCGTCTGAATCCCCTCCAAAGGAAATCTTTCCAACGCTGTTTCTTTTGTAATATAACTCGCTTGCCTTGATTTCAGCGTTCCTTCTTGTTTGCACAAATCTTCCAGAATCACCAATATTTTTTGATCTCGGAATTCTGCTCATCAAAATAGGAGATGAAATTAGATCCAGACTGTTAGAATCAACGCTGCAGAGATCTTCAGACGAGTTGGAAACTCGAGATTCTCTCGCTAAAGCCGAAATCGGGCCCTTTACTCCGTCAAGTAAACTCGAAAAGTCTCGTTCGAGGGAACTCCCGTTATTTTGTTTTCTGCTATTAAAACTCTTTTCGGAACACAGGCTTAGCGATGACCCGGAGCTATCATCCGAAAGCAATCCTGTTGAAATGTCATACAGGCCTTTTTTCTTTGAACCTGGTAAGGCTATTTTTGACAATGCTGTTCCACATCCCAAAGTCGTAGATTCCTCGTCGTTTGCAGGATGAATATACATTTTATAGTACGAAATTTATTTAGATTTGAAGCTGTAAGTCGGAATGGGAAAGAATTCTATAGTTTTTGTAAATAATAAACTCACTATGTTCAATAACTGCGATGATACGTAATACAAAATCACTCAACATTTTACAAAAAATACAGTTCCACATATGTATTTTAAACTCCAAGATCCATCCTACGATGGTTTCGACCAAGCAAAAATTTTGGAATGAGCATTCCATTTGGCATACTTTAGGTAATAAATGGAAATAAAATGTCTTCAGATACACGTATTTACGAAAATGTTTGATGCGTCATCGATCGTGATGTACGCAATTAGATGACAAAAACAAACTATGCGTAATATTCGTGTATCGTACTATTTGCAAAATGCGCCGAATTTACTCTCAAATTATGGTACTACTATACTATAGACAAAAAATTCAATTTCTTGAGCTTTTGGTGTACAATTTGTAATTGAAAAGTTCGATCGTGAAAATGCAAAATAGGCAAGATAAAAAAGAAAATGTAATACTGTATACGAGTAGATTATATTTTAAGCTTTGTTAGTTTAATTCGGTTGAGAGACATTTGAACATAATGAATAAACAACGATACATAAGTAAGATTCAACTAATTTACAATAAAAGGTATAAATATAGAAACCCTGTTTATTTCTATTCATCAGCAAAAACTCAAAATAATTTTATTTATCTCAAAATGTCACCATTTACAAATCATTTTTGCTGCTTTATAAATATCTTTTGCATTCTAACTTTTCACCTACAATGTTGTCATATACCACATTTCTAAAAGTATTTTGCGACTTCCTTTCGACAGAAATGAGAAAGGCTGAAATTCCTAGATCTGTTAATATATTTATGGAACTTCCTTTATACCTTGAAGCAAGTACAATATATAAATGACTTTCAGATATTCTTAACTTGAAATTGATCTTCTTAAATGATTTATCCTAATCGTTAATCCTAAATTTAACTGAAAATGGAATTAGCAAAACAACACTATATATGATATCGAATAGTTTTGAGGCATGAATTTTCCTGCAAAGAAATTTTCCCTATTGTTGCAATTTTCCAAATAATATCTGAGGAGGGAAATTTTAAAAACAGTAAATTTGACCTAAAATTGTTTCAATAAAATACCTGTACATGTTTTATCCCACACCCGCCTTCTCCCAGTATATTCTATTATAAGGCAAACTTGAGAAATATTCCGAATGTGGTGCAGATGCTGCGTTAGCGAAGAAATTAATGCCCACGACCCCAAAGGGGCCACGACGGGGTATCGAAAGAAATCTTGATGTTCGGGGGGCTACATCAGACTCCTATTTTTACCAATATATGTGTGTGTCTAGTATTTGTATGCTACAAAATGCTATTTTAAACCCACTTTGTTTGCTAATTACCGGTAGTAATAATAATCTAATAAATCTTTGTTTCGTCATTTATTTGTTCAATGATTAAAATATGAATATAAATCTATATATAGTCATTCGACGATGCAATGTCTGGATCAAAATATACTTGCTATGCGCCATGATTAATGGGTCTGTTTATACCGGAAACGAGAGATGTTTTGGATATTATTTATAACGTTATAATTTTGGCAACAGATATGCAACCTAAGCATGAAAATACAAAAACTGCAAAATTTGATAGGTTACATGAATAGAAAACGGAATGGATTGCATTTAAATAGACCTTAACCGGAATCTTTATTCCAATTTTGCCTTACTTCGGGTGATAACAGGCAATATAAACACAGCATTGATGGAGTTGACATTGAATACACATCTGCTCTAATATCTTGACATTCCACTGCAATATGTTACCTTTTGGGGAGTAAATACATCCAATGGAGCGCCGTGATGCTCCAATCAATTTAAAAATTTAACTATACAAATCAAGCATTCGTACTGTCGAATAAAATCTGATCACGAATCCTCCCTACATTGCTTCCTTTGTGGATAATATTATGGTTACTTAACACGGTATCTGATTAAATTATTAAATCTTATTTATCCCCACTATATAGTGACTCAATTAAGTTCTTCAATTAAATAAGAAAAACTGTGCTTGTTTTTATTCAAAAATTGCAATTAATTTTTCAGATTTTATAGCTCAGGCTAACTGCAAGTGGTCGTAACATAAGAAATTTAAGATACGATTCCACAAAATAGTTCAACTTGGTTACGAACCATCGAATCATTCGAATTTAATACGTTGTTTTGTCTTCTCCCCCACGCTGTTTTTACTCCAACTTTCGTGTAATCACAAGCTGTTATTCTATCCCGTACCTAGCGAACTAAACATGTTGATCTTGTCCAGTTTCTGAATATATATAATGAATCTATTATTCATCGGTTGATTTCAATTATCTTGATGCTTTAAGATTGTAGCTGAATAGCGTTGTTATAATATTTATCAATATATGAAACTCCATTAACGATTTATATTTTCAGTATACAGTGTCAATATGTTAAATATTTATAGTTTGAAGTCATAATCACCGGAAAGTTTAACAATCAAGACCATTTCTATTAGCACGGCGATTTGTTTACAATTACAACACTATGAAAAACACATAGCATCTGAATTTTCTTGTAAACTAAATAAATAGATGCCGACTTCGATCTGAAAAGTTGTTTGCTATCATTCGATCATGTTGGAAAATGATCTATTCCTGAATTAATCTTGGTCAGTTCATGGAATACAACAGTGCTTTTTGCTTGATATTTTTTCAAGTTGAATTAATATACATAATATGCGGGCACGTTTATAATTTTCCAACTTGAAACTTTTCTGAATCTAGTAACGACGAAATGCACCAGGAAGTGTTACGTCATGAATGGTACTCTTTGCCAGAATTTGGTATTATTAAAATTCTTATTATTTTATTGATTGCTTATTAAACTGATATATGTTCAATAGATCACGCAGAACGTGCTTCGTGAATAAATTTGAATACACGCTCGCTCGGTGCTGCGTAACTTTACGTAATCAATATATATGGATATTTTTAAAACTTGATTTAGTTTTTTTTTTTTATCTTATTTAAACAATTTCCTTCAATTTAAAATAGCACACGATCAAAGTGACCAAGATTCTGTTCTCACATCACCTCTTTCTCAGCTGAAAAATTGAGCATTTTAAGACAATGGACTTGCGTCGTCAACTTGTTGATAGGTCAGCTTAATCGCATTCGTATTTTATATTCAGTTTTTTTTCACAAATGCTTATTGGCATGAATTATGACAGTGCTAACTTGAAATGTATTTTTTTAGGAACGTCAGTCATGTAATCACCACATTATATTTGTCTTCTGATCGATCGTATTGACTTTATCTATTTCTACGATAATTTTATATCGTCTCAATATCTCTTACCCCTCAAATTGAACAACACGGTAAATTCGGCCAAAAACTACCATAAAACAACGCACAAAATATCTCAAATTTTTTGATAGTGTCGCGCACTTCTGACCGTAATTTGACCACTTGAAAAGTTTTTTTTTTTCGTTTTGCGTGATAGGTTAAAAATCAAAGTTTTGTCACACCTATTAAATACCAGTCGTGTATATCGTGTATTTTAGAACTGATTTTTGTCGTCGGATATGACTTTTGCATACCTTACTCTTGTTTTATAATTAACCACAGAGTATACGCCAATGGTCGCAAATTTCGACCATAGATCACTGTCCATTGCACTTAATTTACTGACAACTTCCGTTTTAAAATATAAATGACTAAGGATATGACGTCAAAAGAGAAAATTATATTTATACATATATATTAGACTAAGCAATGCAAATCTTTTTACTAAAATAGCTTTCTTTGGAGTGCTGAAAGTACATTTCAATTGATATTTTATGGGTCATTACACTACTCCGAACTGAAGACATTGAATAAAAGCAAGTATATACATTTACATATTTTTATTTCTATGGGGATTTCTGTAGTGAGTGATGAGAAACTATAGTGAATATCAAGTGGGTACCAAAACCACTAAATTATATTTTTACAATTACATGATTATTAGATGATCAGCCAATGATATTATTGGAAAAGGATGTGTAACGTATAAACACTAATAACTTCAAGAATTCGTGAGTCTGGGTATGAAAAAAGTTTTGTAATCGCCAAAATATTGGTGTGACTTTGAAAATATGTCATTGATATGAAATTTCGGGGACACACAATTTATATGGCTCGACGGTGTGGCGCATCGTGCTAAGCGTTGGGACTACGCTTGCCACCGCACTTCGGTTCCATTACATTTTAACACACGTACATTTGAACCCACTACAATTGCACCTACATACTATTGCACCTATAAACATTTTTTTGTTTCACGCATATTCCTACGTGGGTTCAAATGTACGGTCGCCCCGCACTTCGATTTACCCTGCTTGTGTTCGCAAATTCTAATCCCGTGGGGGATAATTTTGTCCGAGATGATTGCTGGACTCCCTGCCGCCGTAGGGTGGTTCACGTAACCGCTGGTCGGTTACAACTTCCTCCACCATAAAAATTCGTGCATCTGAAAATAAAACAACTGGTTAATTAATCCTATGCCCGGAATGGACTGGTGACCGGACGAGAGGCCGTGGTTCGCTATAAAATTAGACCGTTTTATCAGTTTTCCTTTCTCCCGGGATAAATATGTAAATCCTATAGCGTACATAAAATAATTGGTTTCGGCAAAATGTCCCTTTTTAAAATTTTGATATCGAGTAAATTCGCAAACTGCCCAAAATACTATTCCTGATTCATCGGACAAATAAACAGCTAAAATGACAAGATTTTCATTATTACCCCGGGTGCGAAGAAATCCGAGTTAATCATATAACGATCCGAGGCCTCTTGTCTGTTTACGATTCCATGTCGGGTATGGGAACAGTTCAGTCAGTCAGTATAGTTTATCACATATATACCAAAAGTACACAATAGACGTACACAGTCAATCAGTCAGTTTCACGTTCCAGATACATAGACTTGATAGAGAAGGAAATTGTTTACGTGAAGAGTTAAAGTCAAGTTTATTTTTTCCATCCAATAAAAAATAACATACGAAATTGACAAAAAATGAAATTAAACGCACATTTATACTGGGGAAGGGAAGCCACGGGGAACCAAAATTGGTTATCGAGCAGCGACACCCAAGGTTCAATATCTAATCAAATTTCGAAGGTCTGAAATTAGGTTTTTAGAAGACTGTCATTATAGGCGAGTATGGCTTTGGTTTCTATTTTGTCAATCCTTTTTTTTTATTTAAAACTCTTTACGGCGAGCCGAGTTCATAGCAATTATACTAAAACGGTACCAGTTCCGTTGATATTTATTCGATTTCTAAATAGCGTTCGAGGCCTATTCGAAACCTCAATGATCGATCGCATTTTTACTACAACGGCTGCACTGGAGTAAAAATTCGTTGGAAGGAACAACCAGCTTCTTTAAACAGCCGGGTCGTTGATTGACAAAATCGTTCTGATACTCAAGATTACAACTACGAGGTGCAATCCTTTTAAATTCTGATCGAAAATTTCGTCTCCCAGATTTTCAGCAGTACGAAATTTCCATGGAGTGACTATAGATTCCGGACCAGGCCTAGATGATATACGCCAAACACCTGAGTCCTGATAATGGCACAAGTATTATTATGAAAATACATGGCACACGCATTTGGTTCATATATTTAATTTTAATTATTGCAACAGCAAAGTACCAAATGGTTACTAAGCACATGAAGAACTTTGTTTATTAAACAAACATATATCGATTTTAATTAAAAATGTATTGAAAATAATATAATTGAATTGGAACAGTGTATGAATTAATAAAAACAATTGCATTGGATGGGAATTAAAAAACATTTAAAATCAACTCAATTGACAAATATTTTTATACAATTTTACTATCTTCTATACAAAGATAAGAGAGTAGAATAGCACATTACCCCAAGAAGCAAAGAAGAGACGAGATAAGAAAACCATTCATTAGCATACTGATACTGCATTGCATAAATTAAAGAAGATTGGATAGAGAAATTAACAAAAAAGAATAGCAAAAATTAGATATAAAAAGGGTGCAATGCTCAATCACAAAGGCGTACCTGTATCGTGATGCGACGCATCCCTCGATCACCGAAATATATAAACAGAAAATTGAGGCGAGCGTGCAGTGTTTCATAGAAATAAACTAAATTTAGGGTAAAACAATGGGTACCAAAAAACAACAAAGGAAATTACCGAACAACCAAAAGTAACAGTCTTCTTGGATGTAGATATACTATTAATTGTTATAAATTTGATAGCTATTATCCCAGTAATTAAAAAAGGATTTTTTGCAGAAATAACAGTTTTTTAAAACAGTGAATAGATCTATTTGTTTACCATTACAAAAACAATCTTATTGAAGCAAGTAAAAATTTTTGACTTTTAGTGTAAAATGAACCGTAGTACGATACAAAGCTTCAATCCAACAAAATATATCTTCAAATAACACCTAGAATCCAAGCGACAAAAACTACAAACAGGGCACTTAAAATCACACCGCCAAGGCTTCGGGATTTTTTAATAGGCTCTGTCTTCCTTGTCATCAACGGGCAGATAACTCTTTCTTGCACAGTCATGATTGTTTTTTTTGCATCAGGCCATTTTCCTGGGCCTTCCAGTCGGTATATGTAAGGTACAGCTGGACCGAAGTAGACCTAAAATATAGGATAGGAGAATTTCGAACATTTTTCTGAGGCAAAGTTTGAAAGTTTTCTGGAACTTTGATATGGTTTTCATATTTATCCCAGGTGAGAAGAAAGGCGATAAGACGGCTTAATCATATTGCATACCATAGCCTTTCATCCGCTTACCAGACTATGTTGGGTATGTAGTTAGCCAGTAATTTGGTTCAGATGCATATCCGGCGAACCCACGCAGGTTAATCAGTGGCACAATGCCAGGCGTACTTCTAATGCTTGGAAGGTTGGGCCACCCCTCGCACTGCAAGTCACATGCTGACACCTATGTCATAGACATACACATATGTATAGCTCTCAATTCATCAGTAGTCATTTGCAACTCGTCTTTCAGTTCCTCACTACAAGCCTGTTTGTATAAAACAAACTTTGAACCTGGAGAACTTATGTTTACACCCTGGATTATTGTTTATTTAATTCAATTACAAGGTTAACAGTAAAAATCCTCAAACCTTCATTGCCAATTTAGGATCTGTAAGAAAATACTTGTAGTATTTTGGTTTGCATGATATTTTCTCAGCAAGTTCATCCATGTATTCTTGATAATTGACCTAGCCAACATAAGTAAAATTTATTATCTAAAATCATTATTTAATTCATTATTAGGATAGAATATTCGATTATTGGAAGAAGAGAATCGATGAGATGGCATCTCATCGTATCGTATTTTTGTGAATTCGACAAAGTAGTAGCTCCTGTACTAATGTACGTACCAATGTGTGGAGGCAGTAAAGCAAAGAATCCTAAGGGAAAATGCCCTGGTACGCATATTACAGTAGCACCCGAAATTTTGCGATTTGCTATGTCTAAAAAAGCGTTTTTAATTGGTCACGGACCATCATAAAACTTATGGTGTTCTCCGTTTCATTTTTAGTAGTTTGTATTGCCGCTTTTCAATTTAGAAAATTTGGGTTGCCACCTACCACCAAAATTTTTTATCCTAGTTGTTCGAACTCGCGAGAAACACCACTTACGTATCTATCGACGCGTGTGTCGACTAGTGTTTTCGTCGGAAATCCGCAATTGAGTTGTGAAATCCAATTGTTTGATTAAGCGATGCACTTGTCGCGTCACCTGTTACCAAATTTTCGAATAGTGAATTGCTATTCTAATAGTTGAATATTCGAATATATGCCCAGCCCTACTCAGTAACAATAATATTGACTCGATTAATGTTATGTGAATAAACTTGCTTTTATGATTTATGTAAATTCTGACGTAAATCGTAACTTGGCTGATAGTTAGGTTTCGCAAAAACGTTTGCGGCCGCAGTGAATTTCTGACTCGTTGCGGACTCATTCAAACGCTCCGCGGACTCATTTGAGACCGCGGACTCGAGTCGGGAAACACTGTTTTAGATGTTTGCTCGATGTTCGAGATGCAATGTCGAGCACAATGCGACATATCTCCGAGAAACAAAAAACGTCCATAATTGGGTAACTGATTAATGGGTGTATCACATCGGTTGCATAAGTTGCCACACATAAAATAAGGATTAATGCAAAAACGAGAATATCGGTCAGAGACCGAAGACCTATCGATCGAAAGTTAGGGGATCCCCCAAAACAGCGCTCTTACTCCATAGGGACACCTTGTGTCCCATCATTAATTAATTAATAACTCGCTAATTATACGACATAATTCGCCCAAAATCAATAGGCTTCTGGTCCGAGATAAGATGAATGCACATGCAAACTCTGGAGCAGATTCAATCTCGCTTTCGTGAGATATCGCGTGCATCTAACAGACAAACAGACATACATACAGACAGACAAATACCTATCAACATACTTACCGATTAGAATCGATAAGTAATAAGGATTAATGCACCAAAACCTAACCAATAAAATTGAAATCCATGCTAATTGTTTTTCACCATCATCTTCAATATGTACTCTTTTGGGCGCTCCCATAGTATGTGCACCAAGATGGCGCACAACATGAACCCTAACCTGGTACAATACTATGTTCAGGTTGTGCGCCATCTTTGTGCACATCTACGGGACTCGGGAGCACCCTCTTTTGAAGTTTAAAACATAAAATATATTATTACAGATTACTTTTTAAATAATGATGAGTGAACAAATTCTACGAAGTACATTTGAACTTGCGGATCTGAAAGTGTTCTTAAAAAAATAGAAAAATAAAAAAACTTTTCTTAGTTTGAAGAAATCAATCACTGAAGTATTAAATAACTCCGAACTGTGACCATTTGTACCTGGACAGTATGTCTTCTACTTTTCACATATCTTTTTGCCATTTCCTCTCGTTTTTCATGAATATCCCGTTTCATTTCTTCTTTACTTGGCAACATGACTTCACCTGAAGTGTATTATATAGGTAAACGCAGATAGCCCGGTTTTTAATAATAGCAACCAGACTATGTCTGAATCACTAAAGCCCACCCATGAGCAATAAGGGCCATAAGCTGCAACAGTTAAGCAGTTGCAAATAGACAGGATGATCAACGGTGCAATGGCAAGCATGTCCACGTTTTCAATTTAAGTTTCTATCTTCCAAAATAACATTAAATTGCTGCCCATGCAATCATAAAGATCTCAGAATTCGCCTTCACCACCTCTTCCGAATTGAACACAATTTCTTTTTAGAAATATTATATTGTAATAATTTATAAAATACCTTTTATAACTTTGGTTGCCCATCGACATTGCAGTTCAGAAATAGGATTCACAGCACCAAGGGGTTGGATACCACCAATAATAGCTAACGTATTCTTCTCCAATGTTACAGGAAAAATGTACTCATATAAATCACATTGATTTTCTTCAACCTGAAAATTAGTTCAGTAATTCAGTAATGTGGAGATGAAATAGATTTGGGAAAGTTTTAGCAGATTGATTTGTCATGTTGGTAAAATGCTCAATATCTCATGGAACAATGCACAAGAGACTTTACTTTAAATTCAAAAGAGGATCGGATTTTCATATTTATCCAGTGAGATAAGGCAGCCTAATTATATGGCAGACCACGTTCTCTCGTCCAGTCCATCTCTGATATATAAGAATAGTTAGCCGGTTATTTGTTCCAGATGCATGGATTTGATGGCAGAGGAATCCATATTCATACCCCACATTGTTTAGTAACACATAAATAGCACCACTAACATAAGTTATGAATCAATTTAAATTAAGAACTATCTACTTTATTATGCTTATCATTTTATATATTACGATGGCTTCCTATCATCAACAGTGTATCAAGAAGGACCGGCAGTGGGTGTGACATGCTAAGTGCATTGTGTACGCCAACGTATGGCTGAATAACCTGAGCAGGTTAGCTGATATTTTGTGAAAGAGGACTGCTGGTCTTCTCCTTGGTGCAGGTTGGATCAAGTAACTACTGATCAGTTAGTTATGTTATTTTCCATCATCGAGACAGGAAATTAGCAAGTCACGTATCTGACGTATGACCTTTTTTTGTACAGTGACGCCATTGGAAGATTGAAATTTCAAATCAATTATTAACTGAAGAGACATAAACCACAACACGCATTCTAGTTTTACAACCAACATCAGTGAAAGGCATAAGAGCAAAAAACTGTTGACCTAGAAAGCTACATGATAATCTACACAGATCAAAATTTATCCATTTGAGATTCTAGCAAGGGTGTACATGAATATAAGGGTTATATGAATTTATTCCAATTTTTGAATGATATATAGAATAAAAAAAATTTTGATTAGAAATTTGAAAGAAATTTGATAACATAACTGTTTAGACCAAATAAAGAAAAACAAAATGAGAATTTCAAAAAAATCGTCAAATCAACAGAGAAAAAAGATCATCCCTATTTACATCAGGAAATGCCATGAGAGACCGACCCACTTAGAATGTGGGTAACAATTTAGTTTCAAAAAAAGGAAACCCAAATAAAAAAAAAACATATAAAGTAAATAGTTGTAGCCTGAATGAAACTTGACCTTTGTGAATAAGTGCATAAATGAATTTCATTTTTACATTTCCTGTGGCCTAACCAATTTATTCTAACTCTAAGTGTGTTCTATCACTTTGCTAGACCACAGTGGAGATTGGAGATATATATATCATCTACCTTTAATACTGAATCGTCCAGAAAAGGGTATGCCATTGAATAGCCTGTGGCAAAAATAACAGCATCAATTTTTTCTTCAGTTCCATCATCAAACACTGCACTGTCTTCTGTGAATCTGGCAACATTCGATCGTACTTGTACACTTCCAGTGATAATTCGATTTGCAATATCATCATTAACACTGGGATGCTAAAACAAAAGAAACAGAAGAAAAAAGATTGAACTTTCACAATAATATTATTGTGAAAATTGGGACAAAGAATCTGCTAATTGCAGTTCAGTAATTCAGAATAGTTCTCTATGAGTCCTTTCGAATAATCTAACATTGTATGCATTAATTTGAAACCACATCAATATGAAAATGACTGAGAATCACAAGATTTGACACCACCATATTTTGAGCAATAGAAGGATATTTAAGCTAGAAAACGGAAATTTCAATTCAATGGGCATTGACTGATGTGACCGCATTCAACATTCAAGAAAGATAAGTAAAAATATTTCCTTGATGAAAAACAGGCCTACAAGATAAATTACGAGTTAATAATACAGAATATAATTTCCTCAATATTAAGTCATTTTTCTCAGCATGATATTTATTAATCTAACTAACCTGAGCAAAAACTTCATGCTTTGGCATTAGACCATATTTTTCATGATCAAGTCTGCTATCTACAGTTTTCCTTGCTAATGAATCCAAAACACTCTGCGGCAATATTTTCCGAATATCTCCGTTTACTCTGTTTTACATCATAAAATACATTGAATGGTTATATGGTACTCCTGAAGTATGCGCACCAAGATGTCGCATAACCTGAACCCTAACCTGGTATCTTGGTGCGCATACTTCAGGAGGTCCCGTTATATAATATCTGCTGAAGTTCGAATTTGATCACTACTTTTCAAAAATGGTTATCAAGCATACTGCCTGGATACTAGAAGATTCCTCAGGAAAGTGCACTGTGAAAGTTTGATATCCCATTTCTGCTATGGTTATGGAAACACTATAGAAACACATGGGTACTAACAATCAAAATTATTCTATGGGAAAGTTTAGAGCAACATTGGCCTATTAAATCTGAACAAGTCTCACAACACGATTTCAGAAAATCCGACAAAAACAGTTCTTTTCTCTATATGCAGCTCATTTGAAGTTTAAAATGCCTATTTACTGTATCAAAAATTGTCAATAATGAAATAAAATCATAGAAAAAATTTTGTTAAGACATTTTGAAGTATTCCTAAAAATAAACCTTGCATGGGAAAAAGGTTGGAGATCAAGTGACGTTTGTTATTTGTGTCATGTGTTCAAATTATGGCAATTAATATCTTGAATAAATCAAAATCCTACTTTTTGGTCATGATAATATCCAATGGCATTCCATTTTCAAATATACGTTTTATTATCCAAGCTCCTCTTCTTGTGCTCAAAAATACCTGAATGTAAATTGGTCTTGTTTAAGAGATAGTGCTAAAATAATTTTGAGTGACTTTTTTTATTTACGGTAGTTAAAATACTGTTTTTGATCGCATCATATTATTGTACATGGAAATTACTGGCTTCACTCCTACAATAGTAGAATTTATCACAAACCTGCTTGGAATGTCTGCTCAGTTCTACAGCAATATCTCCACCAGAATTTCCAATTCCAATGATAACAACTCTCAAATCTTCATATCCTTTATGATCACGATAATCATGGCTATGCATATATTTGCCTTTGAACTTTTCAATGCCTGAACAAAATTATCTCGATTTAAAGACCAAATTATAATTAGTTTAATATAAAATCCAACTTTATGCACCTCAAAGTAATAACTGGTAAACTATAACTAATCTGGTAACCAGACAAGAAATTACACAATATAATTAATAAACTAATTCATGTCAGCAAGAACAATTATATCTTTCAAACTCAGAGTCTGCTTAAGACAAAACGATATGCAATTTTGTCAACTCAAAGCCAGAAAACAATTTATCTAGATTAAAAGTCAAATTTGTGAACTTTGAACTTCAATTAAATGAATAAATTGGAGTCTGGTGTCAAAAGACAATCTTTGTTTGATCACTTTCGAAGCGGCCATGTAAGATATAAAAATAATTATAAAGGCAGTATAGTTCATCTGTATTGGAAATCAGGTATGTACTACTGATTTTTCAACAAATTGGGTACGAACCTGGGAAATCGTGCAGTGGATAATGTGGAATTGCATGATGTCCAACACAGACCATAATACCATCATAATATTCACTTTTTTCGTCACCGGTTTTAACATTTTTGGTGTGTACTTTCCTGCAGTAAAATGAGAGTCGAAAGAATATGGTAATAAAATTATATTAAAATCATTTTACTTCTAAGCTAAGTTGAGGTTATGTAATATTAATTCCAAAGTCACTCATAAAAAGATTTCATTTACTCTTAGTCTCGGAAGATTTTGTTGGTATAAGCATGTCTTTTTTGAAGCATTGCTTAAAAAATTTTCATCGAAAAAATCATACAACACATTACCATTGACCATTCTTCGCAAATCCGTCTGCTTTAGTACATGATAACACTTTCGTGTGGAATTGTATGTGTTGACGCAATTGGAACCTACAAGAGGAAGAAAGGAATGCAGAATAATGAATCGACTCAAAAGATGATTTTGAGAAAGTTTTGTACGATTTGCCCTCTTTTGTAGCAATACTTATTAGGGTCAAAGACAATGTTACAATGGTAATAACTCATGAAATCCTAGTTTAATGTAAGATTAGATTGAAACTTTGATTTATCAATATAATTAGGGTAGTAAAATCTCGATTCATGTTCAAAATGTTTTCACACAGTGGGTGAAAAAATGCTTGAAAAGCATTGAATTAAGTTATATGGTCGAAGGTTATCGCCGAAGCTCATGTTATCATTTAATGTATTGACTAAATTACTGGGTGTAGTCTACTATAGTGAGACTTGACTCCAATATAAGACGGTGAAATTTAGCATCCTAAAATTGCATGTTGATGTTAGATTGAAAATATAATGGTCAGTCATATTTCCATGAACAGGCTACATTATCATTAAACTAAATAAAATGAAATATTTGTACAACTTACTTTTCCTCATACATTCTAAAATATTCCTGCACTTTAGTATTATGCATGTAGTTTGGAAAGTTATTTGGTATAGGAAAATCTGAGAAACACATCATTTCCTTGCTTGTATTAATTACAGTTGATTTGTATACCATGCCTGCTTCATATTTATCAGGAACATAATTCCACATTCCTGAAATTTAATTTTAAAAATTATGTCTCTGCAACATAGCATATACTACTGTACTATATACTCTGGATGATACAAAAACATACCTCCAATTTCATCCTGCATTTCAAAACAGACTGGATTTATTCCTTCATCCAAACAAGTCTTTATCGCAACAAGGCCACTTGCTCCTGAGCCGATAATGGCAACTTTTATCTTCCTATACATTGTTCAGTTTCTGCAGCTCTGTGATCTGGTGGCTTGCTTTTAGTAAACCTTCTGACCTTGGTATGCTGTAGCTATAAAATCCAAATGTTACAAAATCTTAAGACTGAACGGTGAGGTAAACCGTCGTAATTCTGAATTAAAAAGATTTTAATAGTACTACTGTACTACTACAGGTTTCGATCATTTTATGAATCTACACGTGGATGATGGAACAGAGCGTAGAAAAGATGGGACCATTGCACCTGTTGGAATGGACGAATGGTGGCCGTTCGTGGAAGTTCGATATATATTGATGTTGGAAGCATTGGAACGGATACAATGATTTAAACTGAACTAACCGAAAACGACAAAAGAACCCAACACCCCAATCCATGATTTGTGCATAGAATGCTATGGAACATTCAATCCATTTACCAAGCTTGTTTTTTAGTAAAAAAAATTTGTCACTGTGTTACTTTTGCAACGTAATTGGACTAGGCCTTCAGCATCACCATTTTTCGGCAGCGAGTGTTCTTTAATCTATATAGCTGTAGGAAAAGCACATACACGTCTCACATTTTAATTTGGATTTATAAGATATTGCCTGATGTCACATCGTGTTTTTGTTTTATTGTGTTTTGACTATTTTTGGGGGGCGGGCGCGTACGGTACTTAGACGTATTTAACTTTATTATTAAGTTATGCCCGTCCTCCAGGTCCTCTGTATTTTGTTTGCCCTTTGTTGTTGTTTTGTTTTTTGTTTGTATCAGAGTGACCAAATAAAATTGATTGATTGATTGACAATAATACAGTAAATATCTGAATATGGCTAACTCAAGTACCGGTATGTCAGTTTGTGTGTAGAAACACTTAGTCTTTCGTTACTAGCACTGTTCCTAGCTCATCAGTACTGCAGTACCGGTATCTTGTATTTTTCAACAGATACTGAGATATGAAGAATTGTGAGCATCTGAATTTTGGCTCTGCTTTTTCTATGTTTGCACAGTTCTGCAGTTGTCTGGTTGTGGTGATGCGCCTATCAACTAAACGAGCGCCAGAAGAAGTTCAGTTAACAAGCCGTATCTTATATTCTATAACTGTGTCACAAGGTAAGACTGTGCATGCAGACATATTTGCATACGCTAGCAGTTAGCACTACACCGTGTATTACATAATACTTTTGCGTCACATATTTAAACCCCATTCGACTGTTTGATGATTTGGCAACTTTCTCGACTTCCTACCGTATCACGTAAGTTTGTCTTGTGCTCATTTATTTGCACTCTGGTCAAGTTCAAAATAAATTATCTTTTTATTTATTCTGTACGCCAGCTAGTCTAGATTGTTGCACGCCATTGCAGCGATAAGGCATTGCCGCAACACTTCACAGTGGTCCGCAACACAACGGCTGCATGTTGCTAACAAGATGGCAGACGTATTGCGTGTATGGGGGCGTTCCAATGGCAAATCTGTACTTCAAAAGGAATGTGGGAGCTAGCCCGAAACGACCAAAGTTACCCTAGCAGACATCTCTCAGCAGACATCTCTCTCGTTTTCGGAACGGTGAAATAGGGTTGCCAGAAAACGATTTAACATTGCGTATAAAACGCGCTGCGGAAATATGAATGCTGGGTGAAATTCAGTTGCCAGATTTATGCCCGATTATAATCACCGTATTCCACGTAAACTTTCTCAATTTTCAATGGCCGGCCACATTTATAAAAGTGATAAAAAAGGAAAACACATAATACCATCATCTCGATCAAAGTTTAATGAACTTTGTATGTCGGAAAAATGATATGATTTCTTGTCAAACATGGCCCAAACAAGAATTATACATCAAAATCACTAAATATCGGTATTACACCCAAAAATACTGCACTTTCCGACGACGTGCCCCACTTTTAGATAAGATATCCCAAAAGAACATATTGTAAAGTCATCTCGAACTAAGTTTCATAAAAATTGTATGGGGGGAAGATATAATAATATCTTCTCAAACATGGCCCAAACAACAATTTTACATCGAAATCACTAAATATCGGTATTAAACCCAAAAAGACTGCATTTTCCGATGACGTGCCCCACTTTTAGATGAGATATCTCAAAAGAGCATATTGTAAAGTCATCTCGAACTAAGTTTTATAAAAATTGTATGGGGGGAAGATATAATAATATCTCCTCAAACATGGCCCAAACAACAATTTTACATCGAAATCACTAAATATCGGTATTAAATCCAAAAATTCTGCACTTTTCGATTACGTGCCCCACTTTTAGATAAGATATCTCAAAAGAGCAAATTGTAAAGTCATCTCGATCCAAGTTTTATAAAATTTGTATGGGGGGAACATATAATATTATCTTCTCAAACATGGCCCAAACAAGAATTTTACATCGAAATCACTAAATATCGGTATTAAACCCAAAAATTCTGCACTTTTCGATTACGTGCCCCACTTTTAGATAAGATATCTCAAAAGAGCATATTGTAAAGTCATCTCGATCCAAGTTTTATAAAATTTGTATGGGGGGAACATATAATAATATCTTCTCAAACATGGCCCAAACAAGAATTTTACATCGAAATCACTAAATATTGGTATTAAACCCAAAAATTCTTCACTTTTCGATTACGTGCCCGACTTTTAGATAAGATATCTCAAAAGAGCATATTGTAAAGTCATCTCGATCCAAGTTTTATAAAATTTTTATGGGGGTACATATAATAATATCTTCTCAAACATGGCCCAAACAAGAATTTTACATCGAAATCACTAAATATCGGTAATAAACCCAAAAATTCTGCACTTTTCGATTACGTGCCCCACTTTTAGATAAGATATCTCAAAAGAGCCTATTGTAAAGTCATCTCGAACTAAGTTTCATAAAATTTGTATGGGGGGGAAGATATATTAATATCTTCTCAAACATGGCCCAAACAAGAATTTTACATCGAATTCACTTAATATCGGTATTAAACCCAGAAATTCTGCACTTTTCGATTACGTGCCCCACTTTTAGATATGATATCTCAAAAGAGCCTATTGTAAAGTCATCTCGATCCGAGTTTTATAAAATTTGTATGGGGGGAACATATAATAATATCTTCTCAAACATGGCCCAAACAAGAATTTTACATCGAAATCACTAAATATCGGTATTAAACCCAAAAATTCTGCACTTTTCGATTACGTGCCCCACTTTTAAATAAGATATTTTAAAAGACCATATTGTGAAGTCATCTCGAACTAAGTTTCATAAAAATTGTATGGGGGGAAGATATATTAATATCTTCTCAAACATGGCCCAAGCAAAATTTTACATCGGAATCACTAAATATCGGTATTAAACCTAAAAATTCTGCACTTTTCGATTACGTGCCCCACTTTTAGATAAGATATCTCAAAAGAGCATACTGTGAAGTCATGTCGATCTAAGTTTCGTCAAAATAGTATGCATCAACCATCAAGTACACTTAGTACAGTATTAAGATATGTCATTGCGTGACACTACTATTGTTATGTAACTTTGTAAATTCTTCTGTGACGTAATAGTGATATCGGTTTGTGATCATGTGGTCATTTTTAGTCTGTGATCCTTTCCTGAAGTAGCTACCACGAGCAAGTTCTCCGGTAAGTATTTTTCGTATTCATTATTGTAATAAACTTTTGTAAAAGATTATAGGTAAGATGAAGGGATTTCGTACACGACCCGTCGCCTATCCCAGGATCTGCCACTGCAAGTGGTAAGCAAACCGCATACCTCCACAATGAAAAAGATCTGCATCGTCCCCACCTTCTCGTATTGTCGGACAGCAATATCAGAAACATGACATTTCCAAAGGTGAGCTAGGTTCAATGGATTCTAGGCTCGAATCGATTTATGATATATATATATTAGTCATTTCCTTACATAACACATTATAGAGAGTGTCTACGCCCTTTAAAATTTTGAGGTGTGGCATCACACTGCCAATCAATAACTTGAATTTAGTTGTACAGTATTTGAATATTCAGATTTTAGAAAGTGCTGCATATAGCCCACCAGTACCAGTATATGTTGGCTGCTGGGGGCATATTCGTTATATAGTCTATTGCTGTATTTCTCGATAACAATGATAACTGCTATTTTAATATAGGTGGTCTCTCCGTCGCCTTCATCTCCGTTTTCGCTTTCGTCAATTTGTTTGCCGGGCGGCCAACTACGACATGGCGTGGCGGAGATTTTAGGGACGGAGTCGTTTTCCGGCGTGGATTATCTTTTGTTGGCTCTGGGGACCAACGATGTTGCAGGATCTGTTGGCTGGGGCAAACAATCCCGAGTATACGCCGAGAAGCTGGTCGAAGCCAGCAAGCAGGCCTATCCGGGATCCAAGGTTTGTTCCACAACTATATCTGGTCCAGTCCAGATATATTTCTGTAAATAAAAAAAATTTGTTGTTTCACTTTGATCCAAGTGGTAAACTTTTTAGTACTTTTTTCTCGGCATCGTACCAGAGCAGTGATTGATGGAGCCTAATCATAAAATATAGATATTTTTTGGATGTACAAATCCACTTAATATTTGTCGGGTTGACAGCCAATGTAAGAGAATACATGCTTCATTTTCAGATACTATTATCGAAGATATTGCCCCAGTCAAAATGTTCCACTGCTGCAGCCAATAGGGACATGGATGCGATTGCCAAGCTGCACTCTATACATCTTCTGGATCTTGACGTTGGCAGAAATCCTTCGTATTGGAGCGACCATTTACATCTGTGGATCGTGGTTTGGCGAAATACATGCAGATTCTCGAGTCTGTAGTAGCAAGAATCGTACGAAAAGGTGGGACGTTTATGGTGTCATTATTTTTGAAAAACGCAACATTCAGGGTATACGCTTAAAAAAATTGTTATTAGTATATTCATATTCAACTTCCCACCTTTTCCCTGTATTTGCTGTTAGCTTTTGACATGTACATACAAGAAATCACTTTTTTTCAATTTCGGTTGAGATGTGTTTCATGTATTCTATGTTAAAAATCTTAAAGAAATTAGAAAAA